ACGACAAGACACAATAATGAAAATTCATATATATATATATATATATATATATATATATATATATTTTGTTAGACCTAATTAATTAAAATGTCAATAATTTTTGTCCTGCAGACAAGGTAAGATTTTTCCTAATACGTAATATCCGACCCGGCCCCTTCATAAAATCTGGATAAACCGCTACGTGGTTGTCTGTTCGACTAGCCACGTGGCACAAAGTAATTCGGCCAGCTTCGTAATGGACTTAAGACTTAGAAGACGGCCCATATAATAAGGCCCAAATATCTGGCCTTTTAACTCTTTGAAATTATATATATTACGTAGGATTAGTACATTCATAAATAGTCTTACATAAAAGGAAGGAATGGTATAAAATTTACACTTTTATCATTCATGAAACAACCCTATTTAGGTATCCATCACCCAATTTACTAATATATCATTTTTTATCTCATCTCAATATTAATTAATTTTTAAAATCCAAAATTAGCTACTCGGGAGGTTACATTTTAAATCTCTTAAATTTTGTCTAATTAGACTTTCCAAAAGTGAAAAAATATCAAAATCTCAAAAATCCCCCAATATTGAGAAAATTTGAAAACCTCATTTCTCCGACTTTTATTATTCTTCTATCGTTCTATTTTCGTCCATTCCTTCGTCTTCGCCCGCTGTCTGCGTTTCTTCGTCTCCGACTGCCGTCTCCATTTTTCTTCGTCGTTGAAACAATCCGTCTAACTTCTCCTTCTTCTCGGGCCGCCCATCCATTGTTTCCGTCCGTTTATCCCGATGTTTCTTTTTTGTCACTGGCCGCCCGTCAATCATTCCAGCCCTCTATTTATCTCGGCCATTGTCTAATCGCCGACCGGAAGGTTTGTAGGTTATTTGCTTTGTTTGTTAATTGTAGAGGGATATAGTTGTATATTCTTTATAGCCAAATATAAGTTACATCTCCATATAAATGTATGTTATAATGACTACAGTTTATATCACTATTGTTAAGTATATGTTGCTTAAGTTTATAGTCGGATATAGTTTATATTTCTACATCATTGAAAAGATAGTTGGATATAGTTTATATATATATATATATATATATATAAAAGTATATGTTATAATGGCTATATTATTGAAATTTGGCCAAAAAAATTTAATAAAATGAAAAGATATTTGTAATCAATTTCATTATTTAGTAGAATATATTAAGGAGTAAATTTGGGATTATGATGATAATTGAATATTTTGTAATAAATTTCATTCTTTAGTAGAATATATTAAGGAGTAAATTAGGGAATTATGAAAATGATTGATTTAGGTCCCACAATAATTTAATGATTACAAAATGTTGGAATATTAATCTTTTACATTTAAATAAAAGATAAATTATAATAAATATAAATATCATCAATAAGGTAAATTTGACATTTGAAAAAAATTTTAAATCAAGAAATCTGACACYGTAAAATTTGTAAACATTTGACCATTTATCAAAATAAATTTGCAAAATAACTTACACATCAGAATATTTTGTTGAGATTATACATTTTACAATATTTTTTACCTTTTAACAGATAGGTTTTTTCAAATGAAGTAAGTATTTGGATCGCTTGTTTCAAATTTTATACAGACTGATTTTTCTACTTTATGAGCACTAATAATTTTCAAATCATATAATTGTCACAATTTGATCATGATATTTATTGATTGTGTATATGTATTTTATGTGTGAGCTAAAACAAGTTGTTTTTATGTTCTCTTCTTTGTACAAATTGCAATTATTTGTGATAATTGAAATGATTGCGAAGGTTGTTTTGAGATGCAACTTGAAATTGTCAATAAAGAAAAAAAGTAATTGAATATTTAAATTTAAGTTTGATCTCATATCTTAAATCAGTGTGGTTATTGAACCTCTACTTAGTATAAGTAAGTGTACGTTTGAAAGAATCATAGTGAACTAAGTTTTCAACTACATATTTGAGTCAAATTTCCACTTATCACACACATTGTACAAGCTRGTTTAGAAGATTATTGTCTGTTTTAGGGAGAGTTTGAAATCTTGAAGATTTTTTCTTCATCATTTATCATCTTTCCAAATCATAAATATGTTTATCTTTTTTAGAGTTGGTTCATCCATTAGTTATAAGAGTTATTTTTATTATTATTGTGGGGGTTCACCTTGAATGATGGAGTTCTCAAGCATAATTGAGCCACTTCTTTTATCATTTGGCAAGTTATAAGCAAAAAAATTGTGTAAAATCTCAATTATATATGTTGCTCATAAAGATGTAGGGTGGTTTAAGATCTTCATAACTATACGTGTAAAATGCGAAATGTACRTATTATTAAAAGCTAGCAATGATAGTTTAAACTTTTAGAGATCTCGTTAGCTATAGTTGTATATACAGTTTTATTTTGATTGAAGATATAAATTTATTCATCATTAATAGTTTATTGAGTATGTCTATGATTTTGTAARGACAAAAATTAGAGAGGTCATTTTTTCAAACAACAAATGGCATGCCACTACCATTCAAAGTTGTCTCTTCAAAATACGACTTATGATAAAATTGGTACATTATTTAATAAAATCATTTTCTAAAGAGACAATCTCTCATGCAACAATATGTTCGAAAATAGTTTAAAACAGAAACTATTTTCGTAAATTCATATTAAAACGACAATATGTTCAAAAGTAACTCAATTTTATTTTTTGTTAGTCTTTCAATTATATGAAGTTGAGATGGCCGAGTTGGTCTAAGGCGCCAGATTAAGGTTCTGGTCCGAAAGGGCGTGGRTTCAAATCCCACTCTCAACAAATTTATTATTAATGTTTTTCTTTTCTATGGTATTTTATGTTAGCAATGGACCATTTTGGTTCTTTTTTCTTTTCTATGGTATTTTATGTCACCGAAGTGACCATCTTGGTTCTTATTCTTAAAATTTTCACACAAATTCTAATACCGAAAGTAATAAAATGAAATCCAATCAATATTGGTTGAACCAAAAAAGACACCATCGTGAAAGTATATTTCCTCTTCTTACTAATTAATTTTGAGATAGAAACCAAAGCAAGCATGGGCATGCCCACATATTGTACTAAACAAAATTAATTTTGAGATAGAACATATAAAGTCTATGCAATTAATAATAGGGACGAAAATAGTATTTTAATATTAAAAGAAAAAAGAGAGAGGGGAAGAAAATAGGGAGAAATAGCACGTGGGGTGGAGATGGAGAATTGGGTGCTAGTATGCGGTGGCAGAAAATGATTGGTGGAGGGCAGGGGATGGAAAATGACCTGACAAAAAGCAATGTCGGTAAATTTGTAAGTATATTCAGTTCGGTCAAACTTCGATATTTCAGTCTTCCACTCACATCCCGCCACGTGTCCCGAAGAATCTRRTCAACCCTTTGACCCAGTAAGCCAGATTCCCAAAAATTCACATTAGCTCCCGACAAATGGAAATGGATAATCAACGAACCACCGTGGGAAACCCTTATAATAATAATAATAATGATAATAATATTTTATATTCTCTTTTATCTTAAAAAAAAAAAAACTTTCTTTCATCCTTTTAAACGTGTGAGATGCTGTTCTTTATTTTGTTATTTCTATTAATTTGAAAACGTAATATAATAAACATGCTTCCCAAGAAACAAATACTTCTATTTTCTATAATAAGAAAATAACTTGAATAAAATACATATAACCGGATAATTGTGCTTTTCGAGTCCTTTTCGAGTCAATAACTCATTTTCTTTTTTAACATTAAAGTTATTTGTTCTCCCAAGGATCAAAATCATAAATGCGTGACTAATATGAGTTGTTCAAATACATTAGTTATCAATTTCCATCAAATATGTGTTATAAAAAGTTAGTTAGATCTTTTTTACTATCAAAATTTACACTAAAGTTGAATTGGACCAATTGAATTATGTCTGTCTGTGTCGACAAACACTCTCACTTTTTTTTAGTTCAACAATTATGAAGTTAAAGTACTGACTTTTAGTATGATAATAAGTATTTTATACATTGAGGCCACAAACACTCTCAAATATTATTTTTTATTCAATTATTTATTTAAAAACATAAATAACAGATTTATAAACACATAACTTGAACCCATGGTATATATAAAATTCAAATTTTATGAAACTTGATTTTCGTTTCAATGGAAAACTTGAATTTTATATACATAACACAGGTTTATATGTGTATAAATTTGTTAATTTTTATCTTCAAATATTATTTTTTATTTGTTTGTTATAGCCCGACATAAATAAACTCACATATAATACATAAGATATAAGATTATTTTTTAAAATATTCCACTACTTTAATCTTTAAATCATAAAACTTCCTTAATTGAAATTAAGATCCACCCGTTTTTTATTTAAAAACGTGATTAAAGAGATCGAACCATCAACTTTTGAAATAGTTGTTGGAATTTTTTGAATAAAATTATTTTTTGTTAAAATTGAAGAATCACAATTTTTCATGAACTGGTGCGTCCTTTGTAAAGGTTATGTCCTTTTATCAAAAGACGTAATTTTAGATGAAAATATATGTCTATTTGAATTGCCACAAATAGTCTATAAATACGTGGTTCTTCTCAGTTTTGTAAAATAGAAAACTGATCCCTCAAAATTCTCTCATTTCTCCTCTGTACGAACACTTAATTAAATACTGTTAGTTCGTTAAGTACTGTGGGTGAAGTGCTGCATTCACAGATTGGTATATCCGTCATATCTTGGGAGACAATTATTCATGAAATCTTGAACATCATAGAGGAAACAAAATTGTCTTAAGGAAACAACGTTACGTTCGGAATTTTATTTTGTGTCCTTTAATATGCATATTTTTCCAACAATAGCAACGACTAAATAAAGTGAGAGAGAATAGAGAGGTGGGTGGGTCCAAAACTTAAAAGCAAAAAAAAAGGAAAGAAAAAAAAGTGTGATTATGTGAAGTGAAAGGAAGAATAAAGCCAAACACAAAACACCCAAGAAACAATTAACTCTATCCTGTCTCTCCCAAAACCAAAAACAAACCCCTCTCTCTCTATAAATCTCACAACCTTCTTCCTTCCTTTTATTTTCCACATCCAAAAATCCAAAAAGATCATTCCTTTCCCCTTTTAGAGATTGATTGCACATATATACAGATGTATAACAGATCCATGGCGGACCAAGAACCCGACAACAACGACCTTAGAATAGTAGTAGAAAGCAAGCCTTCTGAAGCAAAGCTCCGAGAACTCAACATCAGCGGTTGGCCAAAGTAAGTACAATTTAATCTATTAGTTTAAGCTTTTGAGTTTAGTAGTAGTTAGAAAATTTGATGTACGTGCGTTTTCAGATGGGGGTGTTCGCCGGGGAAATACCAGCTGAAATTTGAGGCAGAAGAGACTTGCTATCTGGTGAAGGGGAAAGTGAAGGCATATTATCAAAAGGGAGGTTCCAATTGTGAACAATACACAGAGTTTGGCGCTGGGGATTTGGTCACCATTCCTAAAGGGCTCAGCTGCACTTGGGATGTCTCTGTTGCTGTTGATAAGTTCTACAGATTTCAATCTTCTTCCTAATTCTATACATATATTCTCCTTCTTAAATACATCAATTTTATTCATCTTAGTCTACAAGCCGACTCGCTTTCTGATGTTGTTAGAATTCATTTTTTGATGGCCACCAGTCAAGTTTTGATCGATGTAGATTTTTAGTGGTAGTATGGATGGTAACTAAATGAATCCATAGATATTTATTCAGAAAAATAGAACCTATCACAAAGTTGGGAGGAGTTTTTATTGGTTAGTGTGCATATACAAGCATTTTTCCTAATAAAATAATTAAAATGTATAAAATACTTACCAATTGGTTATTAATCCATGTTTAGTTTTAGGTTAAAAATATTTTTAAATTTGGTTCATTTTGTTTTTTTGATTTCTAAAAATAACTATTTTAATCTTATTTTATTTAATATAAAATCATGATTACATTTTAAGAAATATAATAAATGTAATGTCGTTGAAAACTTTAAATTATAATAAAAAGTTGAAATGAAAAATAAAATCAAAACGAAACGTTAAAATATTCGGTGTTTTAGAAGTAGAGGGACTCGAACAATATGTTTTAAAACTAAAAAACGATAACAAACGTGAGCTAAAAATATAAGATGAAAATGAAGTTTTTGAAAATAAAGGATTTTAATGTCCAGCCGTATGGAAAATAAATGGAGAATTAAAGATAATTATTATTTTAAGAAATAGAGGTAAATGGTCAAAGAGAAAGTCTCCATTCAAACCAATCTTGTTTCCCATATTTAAAAGGGGAGCTTTTAATGTTCCTTTGACCGGTCAATTATGTTTTGTTTTCTTGTGATTGCTATTTTCCCTTTAAACTTATCCTTTTTATTAAAAAAAATTTATGACAATTCAAAATAGGATTTTAATCCCTTTATTTTAAGTTTTAGAGTTACCATCTTGATATTTTCAAAATATTTTAGTTTATTTTAACCTCTACTTTTAAAATATTTATTTTGTTAACTGTACCTCTAAAAAGTGACCAATTTAATCTCTTAATCTTGTTTTTAATTTTATTTTTTCTACTACAATTTTAACACGACACTATACTCATTATATTTTCTATATATCTATTGAAATGTAACTATGATTTTATATTAAAAAAAATTCTTTAGGTCTATAATTTATTTTAAATTTTTATAAATATGCATCAAAATAATCAATTTTTATTAAAAGTATAGGATAAAATAAACCTTTTAAAAGTGGATAAATTAAAATGAACCAAATTTAAAATAGGGAATCAAACTAAATCCAATTTCAAAGTACAACAAACGAAAATAATATTTTAAGCTTAAAAATAAAAATGTATAAAAGAAGTATGTGGTCCCAAATTCCAACAGCTTTTCCTTACCAAGGAGATAACTTCGAATTTTTATTTTCTATTATGGGCCAACCGTTTTCCCTCTTCTTTTTATTCTTTAATAAATAGGGTATAGATATTGTTCTTTTACAAGAATAAAGTTTATTGTATGGAGTCTTAGGATTGATGAGCTACTGAGAAAAGAAAGTCACATCTTATTAGTATTAATAGCAACTATCAAATTATTTTAAAATTTTCCTGATCATAATTTTCATGATTCAAGGACCTCTCGCTCAGATGTGGCGTCGGTTTATCTATATATCTCTCCTCTCTAATAAGTAGATGCTAATCGCCAAACCGAGCATAGCTCAACGGTAATTAACATATACCTCCAATTAAGAGGTTGTGAGTTCGAATCCGTGAGTCAGCTCGACTTCGATTTAGGATTATTCAAAAACTCGATCGAGGAATCTCCACACCATCTCTATCTCCAAAATTTCGGGGATGCACCCCACTCAATTCAATTAGACGGTATTTATAAATTAGTTCTCATAAAATTCAATTCCCGTTCTCAACCCATGACCAATATGAGCTCGAGGTTTCCTTCGCAACTCCCAGAACTTCTTCGTAAAGAATGAAATTTATTACAAAATATTCAATTATTCTCACAATCCCCAAATTTACTTATTATATATATATATATGAAGATATAAACTATATCCGGTATTACAATATGAGCTTGGAAGATTTTGGAGATTTGATATTTCTTACTTTTGAAAACCCTACAAAATTTAAGGGATTTAAAATGTAACAAGTAACCAAGTTTAGATTTTAAAAATTAATTAATATTGAGTTGAGATATAAAAGAATATATTAGTAAATCGAGTGATGGATACTATTTTAAATGAAATTGTTTCATGAGTGTAAATTTTATATCATTCAATTATTTTACATAATTATAGTGTCTAATTTTGTTTCCTATTTTTTGACTAGTTACCATACAAATTAGCCAAGACCATTCATGAGCGGCCCATTTATTCCACCTACCTAACTTAACCACGCAACAGCCCAACGGCCCAACCTCACTTGGAAAAACTAAAAAGAATAATTAGATAAATTACAAAAATTACTGCACTTGTATTTGTACCTCAGCAAAAACCAAACCTTCAAACTTTTTACAAATAAAAAAAACTTGATTCATGAATATTCAAAAGTAAAAGTTAAACCTTTAAACCTTAATAAGTGAGAAAATTGCACTCAAATGGTAAAAGTGAGATTAAATAATACATTTTATCTTTGTATTTTTCTAATTGGTAATAATTGGTCTTTGAATTTTAGCATCTAACAATTTAATAATCACTATAGTTTAAAGTTTGTAACTATTTAGTCCCTATCGTAAGAAATGTCATCAAAAGTAAGAATCGATTTTCATCGTATAACGATTTAGTTTTAAATTTTATTGATAATTGATTATTTTTAAATTTCAACCCGCATATTCCGACATTATAATATGAAAGAAAGACTATATGAAGGTGTAAATTTTCTCAATAAAATTTGCCCATTTCTTTTCTCCAAACATTTTTACTCAATATAATTTTTCTATTTTTTTAGTACAGTATGTTGGAGAGGGGAGTCACACCCTTCATTGAATTATACTCGCTTTCACGATATAATTTTTCATGTCTGCTAGTTGATATGGTTTGAAATCAAATATATGAAATATCAAACTTTTAAAAACTGAAGTAATTAAAATACGATATAAATTATAAATTATAAATTATAGACCTAATTTAAGAGTCCCCAGTGGTGTGGAAGGGAACAATCACTTTGGAAAATTTGGAAAATTTGGAATATCAATTAGAATTACTACCCTCTCTCTATTCCCCACTCCTCTTTCTCTCTCTCTATAAAACCTTCAACTCATCAACGATGGCTTCTTGAAAGCCCCGCCGTCGCCGTCGCCGTCGCCGTCGTCTCCGCCTCCGCCTCCGCCTCCGCCTCCGCCGCAATCTTCTGGTCTCAGGTATTCTCTCTAGCTCCCACATCCTTGTCTTTCAAGTTTCATCAGACCCTCTATTGTTTGCTATATACCTAAATTTCGCTTATAATTCACCTGAAAATAGTGGTATGGCAGTGTTATCCATGTCTTAGCTTCTGCTTTCATTATCGTCTGCTAATGCCAATGCTATGTTCACAGTTTCCATGGCAGGGAATCGGGCTCAAGTCAATAAACCCCATAAATCGCGCTTCTCAACCAAGGCAACGAGACAACAACACAAAACCTCTTTAAAAGGTCTTCTCTTCTCTACTTTATGAAACCCTACTTTTTGTTTCCTTATATTCATGTTTATTTTGGTTGATTTTTTCTATAACCAGAACTGGGCTTATGTTGTTTTTGGTTTATAATTTGAGTGTTTGGGCTATCAGATAAATGCAAAGTTACGAAGAATAGTGTTGCTAAGGGAGCTCGGGCCGCTCGTCATCAGCGTAGTAAGATGGTACTTAATATCCAATCTTTCTCTCCCTACTCGCATTGGTGCCTTTCAGTCTGATGAAGGCTTAATATGCTTCTTGTAGATTCGGGAGCAGAAAAGGACAGCCGTTTTGCAGGATAAAAGGGCATTAAGTGGATCAAGGAGTCCTCCCAGAGTTATAGTGAGTAGTTAGAGTGTCAATAACATTTCATATCTGGCTTTCTTTACAACTTACTCCTTCCTCACTTGTATCGGCTTTCTTATTCTCTTTGATAATAGTTACTTGTTACAATTTCAACAGGTTCTTTTTGCGCTCTCCGCCTCGGTAGACCTAAATCCTCTTGCTGAGGATCTTTTGTCACTACTATCTCCCGGAGCTTCTTCATCAACAGTTGCTTCTTCAGAGTACAAACTACGGGCAACAGTAAGTCGTATCTTTGTGATTTTAGTGAAACGTTTTTTTTAATAATGTTATTGGGACATCAACTATTAAATGTGTTTTTAATTTTGACTAGCCCCAATTCGTATTTCTTTAATTTTTGAAGCCGTGGCCAAATTAATTTTCCATATTTTATTGAGTTGTTCCAAACCCTTTTTAATTTTTGTGTACCAATTCTTATGTTTGCTTCCGTTGCACTGAATTTATATGCTCTAGGTACTGAAAGCACCCTATGGTGATTTGCAATCATGTATGGAGATGGCTAAGGTTCTAACTTCTCATGAACTTGTATCTTTTGTTATTTATTCACACATCACGTTCTGGATTTTGATCAAAAGCTTCTGCATTGGCTATGTACTTATTAATTTGTAGGTAGCTGACCTAATTGCTTTCGTGGCCTCTGCGAGCTATTATATTGAAGGAAGCACATCTCTCTACATTGATTCATTTGGAAGTGAATGCCTTTCCCTATTAAGATCTCTGGGCTTACCAAGTACCGTGGTCCTTGTTCGAGTATGTTACCATTTTATTTCCTTTTTGAGAATTCTAATCTAAAAGGTGAAGAATTCTTTGCATGCATAGGTAAAGTAAATTTTCTTTGCTGGCAGGACCTACCCACTGATATAAAGAAAAGGAATGACTTCAAAAAAATGTGTATTTCTAGCATTGCTTCTGAATTTCCAGAGGATTGTAAGTTTCATCCGGCAGATACTAAAGATGAGTTACACAAGGTAGATAAGCATAGGTTCGTTGTTTTGTGGCTGCTGATTTACATTTTTCCCCCTTATATACACTTTTCATGGTTTATATTTGCAGTTTATGTGGCTTTTTAAGGAGCAAAGGCTCACTGTTCCTCATTGGAGAAATCAAAGGCCTTATTTGATGTCTCAAAAGGTTCTTATTGTTATTTTTGTAAACATGGTTAAATAAGTGTATTTTAACACCTATCTTTTGACTACTATTTTCTTTTACTCTACAAGGTACACCTATTTGTTAATTATGTTATCATTTTGCTAATTCTCTGGTTATCCCATAGGTTGATGTGGTAGCCGATAATTGTACTCCAGGAAAATGTACTCTTCTTCTCACTGGTTATTTACGTTCTCGGTGTCTCTCTGTGAATCAGCTGGTATAGTGATTTGTTCTGCTTCGGCCATTTTCTTGTTTCTGGTATAGTAATTTGTTCAGTTGATATGGTGTTCATACCTGCCTTCCCTTGCATCAGGTTCATGTCGCTGGAGCAGGAGATTTCCAGCTTTGCAAAATTGAAGTTCTCAAGGATCCAGTTCCGTTGAATCCAAGAATAGAACAAGATGCCATGGATACTAATGACATGGAGGTAATGAACATCATCATTGCATGGGTAGAGATGTCCTTGTCTTTTATCGGTTATTCTCTACTATGGCTGCTAGTTTTGAGTTATTTATTTTGAATTTTCTCATCGAAGTTCTATATTTCCTCTCATTGATGTTCTCGTTAACTAAAATAAAAGAACTTTGAGTTTTTCAATCATTCTGATCATAGCTGCTAAATTGATGGCAGATTCATGTTATTGGTACAATTGGGATTTGAGTTAAGGAGTCAGGAAAACATAGATGGAAGTAAAAGTCATTTTCTGCAATTCCTGAATCAAAATGATTACCTGTTCTTCTTTTTCAAATGGTGCTGACAATTTTTCGATGATATATTAATATTTATCTCCTGTAAAATTATTCTTTCATAATAGTTCTTCAATAACTGTTCAGTCTGAGAAAAAGAATAAATTGGGGGTTGGACTTTCCTTCTTTGATAGGTTATAAGATGCATATTTTCCTCGGCATTTTGTTTGAAGAGATGTTTTTAAATGATATTTTATGTTTGTATATAACTCATGCTTTTTATTTACTTTGCCTTCACATCATTCATCATTCAACATTTAAAATTACAAGTTTATTCACATGCAGGTTGTTCGCTCATTGGATCCGTCAGAGCAAGAGCCATTGGTTGTTGAAAACGATCCTGATCCTCTGTCTGGTGAACAGGTATCATAGAAGTGTGTTAAGACGTGGATCCTTCTTTTTCTTGCATAGTTTTCTATTCTTAATTTCACCAGCTATTTCTTATTTCTTGGGAACAATAAAGCCAACATGGTGGCTGGTGGGAGATAAATGCATAATATTTAGAACTCCATGTAGAATTTCTCCTTTCAAACTTATACTACAGTTAGAAATAGCCATTTGCTTATTCTTAGCTATCAGATCTCCTTCAATGGTGATAACTCACCCTAGCATGTGAGCATCGTATCCATTTAATGGTTAATTACTTAAAAGTACTCTCTTCAATGATTGCAGTCTCCATCTAACAAAAGTAGTTAAAAAGTAAATATGTATGATACATTCTATACGTGAGATAGAGATATAGAATGTTGACAAGTGGCATAGGCTATTTTCTTTTACTTATTGTTCTTGTTGTTTTGCTTTGTAGTTTTATGATTGCATCAATTTTTTTATTACTTTCAAACTAATCTGTAAGAGCTAATAGAYGCTGCTATATTCTCCAATCATAACGTCAAATGCTATTTCTAGAACAATCTCCTCATCCCACATCATAGGTTATATTCATAGTTGTTGTTTTTTCCCCATAGACTTGGCCAACTGAGGCAGACAGGGCTGAGGCGGATAGAAATAAGAAAGAAAAGCGTTTGAGGAGAACTGCACTTGCTGATGGCACTTCTGATTATCAGGTTTCCATATTAATTTTCTAATTCTCGCCCCCTCGATTTACATGTTTGCAATTTCATAGTTCTTGTCAGCATCTTTGCTTTTTTGAAATCCACAGGATGCTTGGAGAATTGGTGAGACAGATGATGAGGATTCTGATGTTGACAATGACTCTGATGGTATGATGTTGGACGGAGAAGGTTATCCAAATGTAGAGGATGACCTTAATAATCCGGGCATCAGTGATGATGATCAAGCTTCTTTGGAGTTAAATTCTGATCAGGAGACCGATATGGCTTCTGTGATGATGGTGAGAATTGCATTATTTTTTCATCTTTTGATTTATCTTTCCTTATTCAACGGATAGTGGTTATTGTGTCAAAGCTAGAGAACTAGCACCGTACGGTGCAATTCTCAATATGCAACCTTTTGGTTGTAATGATCCTTTTTAGAACGCTGAAAAAATAGAATATATATATGAATAGAGAAGAATTATAAATCCTAAAAGAATTGTAACACCCGGGGTTTTTGTTATCATAGTATTTATTTAATGATTTTGAAAAAAATATTATATTTTTTAGATAAGTATTTTTCAATAAATTGCTTTGAATTTATATTTGAATAATTGGGTTGTCTTAGATAAATTTGTATTTCGTTTTCATTTAAGGAAAATGATTTACGATTTAGATAAGCTAATTTTTTATCTGGTCTATTGAATCCAACCTTTTCTTCCCTATAAATTCCCAATGAGAGAGTGCTCAGAAAAGGCCTAGCAGTAGATTTCTTTTAGGTAGCTACTTCTCTTTCCCTTTTGTTAGTTTGTTTGGGTTCTTCTTATTCAAGTAAGTAATTCTCGTATCCTTCCTAAATAGAATTTTGAAAGTTTGTAAGTTTTCTCACATTTTATGTACTTGGTTTTCTTTTGAAAACCAATATTTGTTTGGATTGTTTTATATCGAAAAATTTTGGACTTTGTTGACAAAATTTTCAGACCTCAATATTTGATATTCATGAAGGATTTTGGAGTTTTTATGTATATTTGATGTGGGATAAATTGTGTTTACTGCCTCTACTGAAAAGTTTTAGTTTTTACGTTTCAAATACTTGGTTTAATTGAAAGATTTTTCATATCTGATTTTTATTCGAAATTTGGGGTTGTCATGAGTTTTATATTTATTATTTGAAAATATTGACTCGTTAGGGTTGTGAAGATTTTATTTAATTTTCAGATTTAAATTTCCTCGCAATGCAGGATTGTGAAGACTTGACCAACGAACAAAAATTGGAGGAGATTCAAAAGATTAAAAATGCTCATGCTGAAGATGAAGGTTAGTCGGCTTTATGATATTATGAAGAAACACGAACATGGCGGTTTGGGAGTGGCATCTCCATTATGAGATTAGTGGGTGTATTGATGTCAATTTTCTGCATGCATTACTACTGAGCGTGAAAGTCGTTAGATGCTGGTGTTAGATGTTATACTTGGATGTTCAATAATCTTCTTATTTGTTACAGAATTCCCAGATGAAGTGGATACGCCTATGGACATTCCTGCCAGAAAGCGCTTTGCAAAGTATAGAGGTCTCAAATCCTTTAGGACATCCTCGTGGGATCCCCAAGTATAGTTACTCTTATCCAATAATGATTTCTCATACTGTTTCTTAACAATACATTAATTCGCCAAAACTTCTGTCTCTTAATTCAGGAAAGTTTGCCTCAAGAATATGCTAGAATTTTTGAATTCAATAACATCTCCAGGACGCAAAAGCACGTTCTTGCTAAAGCTTTAGAAATAGAGCAAGGAAACAGAGATGATTGTGTGGCACCATGCTCCTATTTAAGACTGCATGTTAAAGAAGTGCCTGTTGCTGTGGCTTCGAAATTGTGCGAGTTAGCCAAGGCAATGCCTGTTACAGCTTGTGGACTTCTGCAGCATGAGTCCAAGATGTCTGTCCTCCATTTCAGGTACTTCCTGATGGCTGAAATGTTACCCATTCTACTGTTATAATTCAAATACTAGCTTCTAACTAATCTTGTTGCAGCATCAAGCGGCATGATGCATCTGAAGAGACCTCCAATAAAGTTGGAACAGTTCAAAACACCAAGAAACATGATAAAAATTCCCCTCCCCTTAAGGGAAAAGAAAAATTGGTGTTTCACGTTGGGTTTCGCCAATTTGTTACCAAGTAATTTTCTAACTTTGCCATGCGAGTCCTCCATCTTTCGCTATTATATTTTTAGGTGACCATCTCTTAACTTTCAGGCCAATATTTTCAACTGACAACTTTAATTCAGACAAGCACAAGATGGAGAGATTTCTTCATGCTGGAAGATTCTCTATTGCTTCAATATATGCTCCTATATCTTTTGCTCCCCTTCCTTTAATAGTTCTTAGGACCGTTGAAGGAGTTTCTTCATTTGCTGCTTCTGGTTCGTTAAAGAGCATTGACCCCAGACGGATAATCCTGAAGAAGATTATTTTATCTGGGTACAGTTATCTATGACTTATCAATTAAGTAATGATTATTTTATCTCCTCGTTTGAAGAATTGGTTTTTATTTTTCTTTTTATCAAATAGTCTAGTTATACTTCCCATGAAGAGAGAAAATTGAAATGGGTGTCTACTAATTTATCTTGGCATAGCAACGTTTATTATCTTGTAGATTTCTCTTATAACATGATACTATCTTTTGAATTCCAAATCAAATTTTTAAAAATAAGCCTTTTAAGGCTAGCCGTCTTCTGTGCTGATTGTTTTTAGTAGTGTAGTTGATTTTTTTTGACTCTTTTGTTTCGTTTTTCAAAAATAAATATTTTATATTTCATTGTTGAACTTTATTTTTATAAAATTTCTGTGGATTTTTATGATGTTTATAAATATGATAAATCTGCTGATGCTAATGGTTATTCTTAATTTGAAAATGGTTTCCTTTGTTGTGTGCAGTTACCCTCAACGAGTATCGAAACTAAAAGCTACTGTGAGATACATGTTCCATAATCCTGATGACGTGAGATGGTTCAAGGTAAGAGCAATTGCATAGGAATGAGTTGGTAATCTTGTTGCTTTTTGGTTGGGATTGGTAGAAACTGAACTTCTCTAGTATCAGAGATCAATGTACTGGGACTTGAAAACTTTCTAGCTCATAGGAACTCTAATGGAGGCTTGAGCTCAAAGAATTTGCCTTGAAAAATATGGATAAGAAAATTGTGTAGAGATCCTGGTTGAGTTATAATTCTCATTAGAAAAGATGGTCAGTTTAAAGTTTGCCACTTACAAAATTCCTCCTAATGTTTGTATCATTATTGCAGCCTGTGGATGTGTGGACGAAGTGTGGAAGACGCGGTCGCATCAAGGAACCTGTCGGTACACACGGTATGCTTCCAAATATGCAAATATATGCTGTCTACTTGATTATCCTTGACATCCACTGCTAATATGTTGCTCACAACCCTTGAGAGTTGTTCTGTTGTAACATAAACATGTTTGTGGAACACAGGAGCTATGAAGTGTGTTCTCAATGGAGTTTTACAGCAACATGACACCGTTTGCATGAGCTTGTACAAGCGTGTTTTTCCCAAATGGCCGGAGCATCTCTTCCCTCTTCTTGATGCTTGATTTTTTTTAGTCAGATTGAAGTTTTGGTAGATGTTTCTTTCTGGCTCTCCCCGTTATTTTTTTTACCATACTATTATGTAATATTCAACAGGGAGGAAGAATTTTGATTCTAGAGTCTCAAAAAACCAGAGTTTCAGTCCCCATTTTCACGTGATTTCGATGTTATTGCAATCTCAATCTTTGTGTAAATTTTTATTAACTTTTTAGATTCTAAAAACTACAGGAAGGTTGGTTCTTGAGAACTATTTTCGAGCCTCAGCAATGCAGTTAAATGATTTGTGCCCATATTCCGAGTTGAATTTTAAAGATCGAGAATTAAATATTTGTTGACGTGTCGATATTTTTACGTTTTTGTCAACAATTGATATTTAATTTGACAAATTGATAAAATGAAGTTGTTATGTATCAAATCAAAAAGTAAATAAATTTCAATGGAGTCTCCAACAATATTCAACACCTCTTGTTCCAAATGGTATTATTCTTATCAAGTCTTGCAAGCTACCTAAAAGTAAAGCAAAAAACTATAAAGATTCAACATCTCTTGCCTCAATGTACTTGAAAAAAAATAAATTATGAAGCCCAAAAAGTAAAAAATTGTAATATTAACACCATAATTAATCTACAAAGCAAAATTATTTCAAGCCTAAAATATTTGAAGTCCCTATGAATCGGCATAAATGGCCAATTTTGGACACTCTAAAAGAAAAAAATTCATAATTTTTTCAAATAAGTGTCTTAGATTTCCACTTTTTATTTTTTGTTTTGTGCTTACTTCAACCTTTATGGTTTATTTGGTATGTTTTTCACCTTCGAACTCTAAGCTAAACTTAAATTCAATATGCCTAAATTATTTATTATTATTATTTTTTCATTCTTTTTATTTTCAGGTTATTTATTGCCAATCAATTATTTTCTTTGAAGAATTTCAAAAGAAAAAAAAAACATTCTTCTCATTAGCAACATTTTCTAAGAATTTAACACACAGTTTTCCATTTTAGCATAAAAGTCCATTCATTATTCCTTCAATCAAACATTTTCATTGATTCTAGAAAACACAAATTTATTATTTTTTCTAATAAAATGATTTAATTTCTCAATTTTATAGCGTCCATTGACTTTCAGATGACTTTGAGCAGTGCCCATTTAAATTCATCAAATTGAAATTTGAATAGACTTTGAAACACACACAAAATAATAATATCAACAACAATAATAATTAAAATGTCTTTTATCTCTTCACCAACTTGCCCAATTTGCCACCATTATAATCCCCTATGATTAGTCAACCTCAGGACTCTTTACTTTTCTAAGCTTGGTTAAAGTATAAAATTAAAATAATGCAAAAAAAAAAAAAAAGGCTTTAGTTTTATGGGTGGGGTAAATATACGTGTTTGATTGTTTTTTCAATTTAGTCTGGAATTAGTGAGTTAAATATAATCAATCACTGATATATATATTTTTAACATAACAATAAACATTAATTAATATAAATTGCCTACCAAATGTATTAGTACGTCAATTACTGTAAATAATATCTGGATCAATTTAATGGTTCGTAATAAAATGTACGACAACAAACTCCGTCATGCCACGTACGAAACTTCCTTYTTGGTCGTCCATGAACACCTATTAAAAGAGAGAACTATCATGACCACATGATAAGTGAAAGATCTATCACTAATTTCCTAAAGTGATCTCTACTTACATTTCTCTCCAATTACTAACTTGATCGTTAAAGGTTGTTAGGCGGGGCAGCACACCGATGTCGAGGATTGTTGTTGCAGGCTCATGTGTCTGATGACTACCCGTATAGAAAGACACATGGACCTCTGTGAAACTCTAGTATCAACATTTAGTAGGATTGTCACTAAATATTTTATATCCATTGATAAGATTAGTGATGCTGAGAAACAAAAAGAAAAAAAAATTGTTCCAAAAATACTCTCATCCTAAGTTTTTCATTGAAAAGAAAACAAAAATGTGATATCGCGTGCGTTGTAAAAACAAATTAAATATACACGTGAGTGCGGGTGATTTAAATGGATCCTTTTGAATTTTGGAGTAAACTTCAATTATATCATATAGTTAAATTTTTTTATTTTAAAATTATTCAAAACCATCATTCGTTAGCTGATTAAAAACTTATGTGGATTGAAGGCCTTGACCACATTAAAAAAAAATGATATGATATAGGGAAAACAATTTTGGGGTGAAGGATAAAAGATTATTACTTCTTTCATAACCAAAAGATTTTGGAGAAAACACACTTTTCAAGAAAGTAAACTAGGGTACAAAATTTGGGGCATCTCCTCACAGTCAAAAATAATGAAAATAGGGACTAACAAACAAATGTCATACTCAAATGGGTCCACACAAGTGTGCGTTTGGTAATATTCTTATTTCTTTATTTTTAATAAAGAAAAATGAGTATCATAAAATAATTATAGCACAAATTAGAAAAGATAACAAAAAAAAAAAAAGAAACTTGTTTTTGGTTGTTTCCAAAATTTATATACAACTTTGAGAATGTTTCTGTGACTTTCAAGTAGAGAGTAGAAGTATATGAATGAACCGATATCATATCGAATGAGAGAGATCCTGAGATCATGGAAGCATCGATAAGAAAAGGCTAAAAAAAATGAATAATTACTACATGTGCTAACAAAGTACATCTTCATTTTCGACATCTCAATCATAAAAACTCCATAGTTAAGCATGCTTGACTTGGACCAATCTTCGATTGAGTAACATTCCCTTTTTTGTTCCTCATTTCCAATTTTCTTAAGAAATTTAAGCATTCCTCRAGGATGCTGGACATAGCATAAAGAACAGTTTGGTTGCCATCCTCGACTTTAGAGGTTTTGAAACAATATGGTATAATTGAATCTTACTTTAAAAGTTGAATGACATTTATGTACAGTATAGTTTCATGCTTTTTCAACCATTTTTAATTGAGACTTGTGATCTATGAAATACATTTAAGTCTAAAATAAATCTATTTTATTTTATCAAATTAATTCGATAATTTTTTTAGTCCAACAACATATTAGGATGAGAATCAAACMTACGACTTTTTGAGTRACAATATATGTCCTAAATCAACCACCAAACCAACCATCGATGATTGTTTGGGTGATCAATTCAATTTTAAAAAAATTGATTTCAACATTAATATCTTGTTTTCTCAAATTGCTATGTGAATTTTGACAAATAATTAACCCAAATCCTACCTCAAAATACATTTATATTGGAGTTATGTCTCGATTGAAATGATAGTTGTTGAATATAAAATAGCTTTTAAAATGTTAATATTATAGCTTCCAAATTTTATATAATTAAAAGTTTTGTTTAATTTATGAGTGTGATTATAGTAACTCGGTTTAAGGTAATATTGCATTTAAAAATGAATTGAGTTACAATTATAATAAAGTAATTCACTAATTGCCTAAACGCGTTTGATAAAAGTAGGGAGGCATTCACGTGAATTAAATTCCGCCCTTTTTTTCCTTTTTCTTTTTTAATAAATAATTATAATAATAATGTATTTGAGAATATTAATATTAATAATTAACCATTAATAATTGATAGCTCCCGTCTTTATTGGCGGTGATATTGGAAAATGGAGACATCTTTTCATGTTCGTTTTATGAAAATAATAATAATAAAATCAATGGACGGTTGAAATTGCACCGTACTCTCAAGATCTTTAATCTTGACCGTTGATTCCGATTGCTTCCAACTTTTCTCATCTCCGCTTTCTCAAAGTCAAAGCGCTGTGTCAAAGACGCGCTTTCCCACGTGGCGCTGTCATTGCCCATTCCACTCCCCACGCTCTCTATCTCACGCGCTCTCTTGAAACGTCTATCTTGGTTTCTTTATACTTTAAAAGTGACTATCTTGGTCTTAATAGACAAATTTTCTAACAATATTTTTATACCCAATGAAAATCTTTCAATGTCAATTTTTAGCTAAATTGTTTCTGATCAGATATCGTCAAATTCACATCAATCTTTTAAAATAAAGGGATCGACGAGACCTACAAAACATAATAACATTAAGATCGGTGTGACTCTTGCCACACGAACTCTGATGCTTAAGTTAGAATCAGAGTAGTTGAGTATAAAGTGTAGGGTATTGTGAATGCCTTTAGRGTTGAGCTTACTTCTCTATTTATAAAAGTTGAATCCGTATATTCTAGGAATTATAGAAGTCGAATCCTAATACATCTAAAAAATCTAGTCATCTRGGCCAACGTATCTTATTATGGGCCTATCGTCGGACCAAAAGTCGAGACGCGATGGGTTCGGGTTGGCATGCATCGTGGTTGAGTTCTCGGACGAGGTGCCGAGAACTGCTCGGAGCTGAGACGATCTTGACGCCGAGCACTGGTCAGTCGGGGGGACCAACTTGGGTCGTCGAGTACCAACCCATTTCTTGGTTCATGCTTTCTCTTGGCTCTCCTCTGGTCTTCTCTCACTTCGCTGAATCTCCTTTTTCTCTCTAGAACACAAATCACATCATTCAATTGAGGAGTTCATAGCGAAGCTCAACTGAAGAGAGTCGATGTTAACTTTTTTAAGTATGCAAGCTTGCACACACTTTTTCCATTCAAAACTCCTATCCTTTGCCTACCAATAAAAGAGTTTATTTTATTTTATTTTTTCAAGAAATGAAACTTTGATTATAAAAAAAAAGGAGATGATATGAGATATCTCCAATCACCAAAAGGTTACAAAAAGCCTTCCAATMGGTGAAAATTTGAGTGATTCCATAATTTAAAACAWGGTTTAGTAATAGCAAGCAAGACGAAGATGAAACAAAGATTTTYACGAGATCCTAAAAGGAACTTGGGTCTAACTCGATGTTGTGGAAGATTATGGTATTGCCACACTCTCCATAAAAGCCCCGCTACTGCATTAGACCAAAGGATTTGAGCTTGGTTGTCGTTAATTAAAGTTTGTTCCCAGGATTAGTTGAGTAATTAAGAGCAGGAAAAACCCAACTATGGCCAGCAATCGTCAAAGGAAAATTCAAGATATAAGGAATAAGTGTTATGAGTCTTGATTATCCATTCCTTTGTTGCACAATCTATTATAGCTATTGATAACCTTTACTCTCTCACAAGTCACAAGTCTTTTAATTTATATATTGATTTGCTTTGGGCTCCCAAAAAAAAGCTCGCCAACCACATATCGCAGATAATAGAGAGGCCATGCACCTTCCTCACAACCCATTAATTAAGCCACAGATAAGATCTCATCTTCTTTGACGTTTAAGCCGACAAT